GGGCTGGGCGCTCCTCCCACCCCGCGAACCCCAGTCCCGGCCCCCGGCCCGCGGTGGCCGCTGCTTTCCGGGAGGAGCCCGCACTGGAGGTCCGGGCTGCGGATCTGGAGCCTCAGGCCACTATGAGTTTCCGCGGTCAGGGCCAGCGGTCCTGAGGCTGGGACGGCGTGGGGTGAGCTCGCGCGGCTGTAAGTGGGTGCCGGGCCGGGTTTGTGGGCGCGGCCTGTTCTGCGGTGGGAGATCCTGAGACCCTACGCATCTCCGTCCTTGTTCAGCCACCTAGGCCGGGCGGGAGGGAAGAGGACCGAGAGGGAAGTCGAAAGTGGCGCCCCAGAATGAAGGTCCCCCGCCAGGCGCTCGATCGAGATTTAGGGTGGGCCTCTGGGGTCTGGGAGCACCCCCTGGACTGAGAAGACCCGACCGGCCTCCCGGGTGGGTGGGCAGTTGCGGTGTCCGAACTACAGCGTGCCCGGAGCTGCGGACCCCCACGCGGTGACCGTGGAACTACTCCCGTCCCCCCCATTTCCATCCGTGCGCGCGGGTGGGGGTAGCCAGGGTCTGGGGGCACGGCGGCGGGGGTGATGACCGAGTCAAGAAAATCTGGGTTGTAACGAACCCCGTTTGCACCCCCACAGCCCTGCCAGTCCCCGGAGAAGGCCTTTGAAGTGAAGCGAGTCGTTGCTCCGTCTCCAAAATCGGGGTTCTGTGTGAGTTTGTGCTGTTCCTTTGTTTCCGTGAAATGCGTTGGACTTTCAGGAGACGAGATTGCTGGATTTCGTTCTCTTGAAATGTCCTGCTTATGAGTCGTCTCCTCTTTGAGTTGGGTGAGGGAAATGAGGATTTCCTTGCAAATTTAAAGGCATCTCATCTAAGGGCTTGAAGGCAGTTTCACAGCGCACACTGCTCTGAAGGCAGTGTTTTTCCAAAGGATCCCTGATGAAGGAAATACCCCTGCTGGAGGTTAATGTGCCTCTTTGTTTTCGATTGTGATTTGTTAAGGATTAACCTGAGGGTTAGATCTTTCTAAAGATTCCTGAGTAAATATGAGACCCCCCCCCCAAGCCCAAAAGAATGCAGGAATAGTACATTTTGGTGCCAGCAGAGGCAGCTAGTGATTCGGTAGCATGAGTTTGTTTCGTTTTTGACAAATAAAAAATTGAATATATTTGAGGCCTATCACATTGGTAAGTTCAGAAATCCCAAGGTAAAGCCAGCGCATCACCATAGTACTGGGTAGAGTTTATTAATCACAGACAATAGGAACACTGGAAGCACTCAAAACAAATATGGAACAATTCTCAGTGTTTTGTTATGAAACAACTTATACAATAAGAGTGGAGGCAGCTTATTCTTCCCAGTGATTGGTGATCATAGAATTTTCTTAAATGATAGGGAACTGGTTAGTGGTTACCTCTTAACCAACTGGGGAAACAGTTTAAGCTTGGCTTAAGATTTCCAAAAGTGTAAATAAGAAATGACCCAGGTCTAGTTAGGCTTGCAAATCAAGCTGTATTAAAGTTTGTTTGTATGATGAAATCACTTTTGTCTGCTCAGGGAATTTTCCAGGCTGGTCTCTTTTTTTTTTTTTTTTTTTAATTTCAAAATTACATTGTGAAAGAGAAAACTTATGTATAGTAACTATGCCATATTCAGGACTTAGTCATTTTTTTTAAACTTAATCAATTTTTAAGATTTTATTTTATTTTTGCACAGAACTGAGGCATGAGACCAGAGGTGGGAGAGGGTGAGAGAATTCACCAGCATGAGGAGCAGTAAAGGCAGACCCACTGAAATACACTGCTGAGGGGAGCAGCTGGTGAAACTGCAGCAGTCTGGGGTGCCTTGTGAGTCAGCTCCCTGCGCTGAAACTTAACCCCTAGGCCACCAAGGAGGTCCTAGGACTTAAACATGTAGAACTAAGTTTGTCTGGGGCACGCCTTTGGGTGGAAAGAGAGAGGCTGACTGAGAAAAAACATAAAACAAATGTATAACATTTATAAAATGTGTAACATATAAAATGCAAAACATAAATAAGTATATAAAATATAGTAAAGCACTTAAATAAATAGCACTAAAATAATAGCACATACTTGGGTCTTGTTAGGTTTCAGATCACTCCCTAAAATGTGTACAGGTAGAGTCTTTATGGGGATTTTAAAGGACTGAATGGGGTGGAGATAGACTTGTAAAATTTGTTTACCAAGAATTAGAACTAGGTACTAGAGTACATTCCTGAGAGCTCACTGGATTTTAGTCAAACTGGCCTTGGTTACTATGGAAAGAAAAGAAAAAAAAAATTATCTTTGCACTGCCTGTCAGTAAGTATTATTGTTCCTTTAAAAGATTTATTTATTCATACAGAACTGGGGTATAGGCCCGAGGCTCAGGGGCGGTGAGAGGATTCACCAGAGACAGAGCGGGGAGCAGAACAGGCAGATGATCAAAGTACACTGCTGAGGGGAGCAGCGGGTCAGGAGAGGTCTGCAGCGCCATAAGGTTCAGCTAAGCTCCAGGGTGGGGATCGAACTTGCTCTGAAGTGGCTGCGGCTAGCTTGCAGTGCTGCGCTTTTTAACCCCCTGTGCCACCAGGGAGGGCCCCCAATATTATTTTCTGACATACTGCATTTCCCCCAGCTTTGTTGGTCCCATTATAAACACTCCATGCATCATGTTTACTCTTTTTATCATATCCCAAGTGTCCATTACCTTCCCCCAGTCTTTAGTAATAAGAATTATCATCAGTCTTTCAAATCTACTATCTGCTGCTTTTATAAACATCTAAGTTACTAATGGGTTTTGAGGAGAATTATTCATAGTCAGGCTCTGCAGATTCACTTTCTCAGCCAACAAGGATGGGTTGGTGAGTTAGATCTGGCAGGCAGGACTGACGATTCTGAACAGGAGAGTGGGTAGAGTTCCCAGCAAAGTCTGCGTCAAAGAGGCCTGCCGGGCAGTGTCCATACAAATGGGTCTCAAATTGTGGTGTCTGGACCAGCAGAGTTAGTATATCACCTGGGGACATTTTTCAAATGCAGATTCTCAAGCCCCATTCCAAATTACTGAATGTCAAGTTTTCGGAGTGACCCCTGCAAAGGGTGTTATAATACGTCTTTCAGGTGACTCTGACCACTGAGGTTTTAAAAAAATCTCAAGTCACACCCTGTATCAGTTAAATCAGAATGGTTAGCAGGTAGAAGGCCAGCTCAAGTATATTGTAAACATCCGTAGGTGATTCCAATGTGCAGCAAAGTTTGGGAAATTATTGTCTACACTAGGTTCTATTCTAAACTTCAGAGAGCAGCTAGATTTCTGAGTTTTTGGAAGACAGTTCTTGTTTAAAGGGGGCGATAACCATTTCTCAGTGGAATGACAAGGCGGGAGGGGATCGCGGTGGATATGGTCAGGACAGAGTGGACAGCCCATTCTCTGGTGCAGGTCTGCCTCCCTGGTGGGGGCTGAACTGAAGCCCCTGCTGCTGCTAAAGCCACGGGACTCGAGCTTCCACACAGGAGAGTCTGTCTTCATCTGTTTGTGTATTCTTCCCCCAGCTCCGGCTTCTGGGGACTTGGCTTCTCCAGTAAATGATCCACGAGAAAAACTGACCAGTTCTTGCAAGTCTGAAATCATGGCTCATGTAAGTTAGTGTTTCACTCTACTGGAAATGCTGTACTTTATTTCAGGCTACGTGAACATTCTCATTAGTTACCCTGAAACTTCCTTGAGCCCCATTCAGCAGCTCCTCCCCGTCTCTCTCATTCTCCTGTGTGTCCCCTCTTCTCCATCTGTGTCCATGTGTGAATTCACCAAATTATTCAGTGTCTCATGTGTGTTTGATCTTAGTCTAGAGCAGAGATAAGCAAAAATGAAGTCCTTAGAGAGATTATTTGATCTAAGCTTTTCAAGATTAGAGAACACTTCAGAGGAACACTTCTGAAAAGAATTACAATGCAAGCTACATGTATAATTTTAAATTTTGTAGTAGTCACATATTAAAAGTATAGGACATGTGTTTTCTTAATTCAGAAGGCAACATGTCATTCTCATTAAAAAGTATAAAATAAAAAAAATAATAAAAAAATAAAAAGTATAGAATAACATGCCAGTAGGAAAACAAATTGAAATGTAACAGCCATTAGCAAGAGCTCATTGAGGAAAGTGCTATAAAAAGAAACCAAGAAAAATGCCAGAAGACTATGAGATTCATACTCTTTCAAACAAGCCAACTACACCTCTGTATACAATGGCACATGAACAGAATGTTTTTTCTGTAATGTACAGAAATGTAAGTTCTTGTTAATATAAGCAGGTAAATGTGTCTGTGACAATGACTGTACCACCCACAGAGTGGGTGGGAGACCCACTTATGGATTCTGGGGACCATGCGGGCTCTGATTCCCTGATTAGGAGCGTGGGCATTCAAGCCAGAATGGAGAAGGAAACATAAGGACGAGACAAAGGTGAATGGCCCTTCTCTTCTGTCTTAGCAGCCCTTAGATGGAAATCACCTTTGCAGACATTCCAGTCGCCTTTAAAGAGGCTTTGGTTCAGCTCTCAATTCCCGATTGCCTGATGCAGGGTGTGAAGAACAGACCCGAAGGCGTAGTCTTGAACAAACCTGTGTGCTCTGAGTACGCTTGGCGCTCTCAGCCCATGTTGGGGACCCCAGTCCATCACTCTTTGCGGAGGAAGTCCTAACTCCTCCTTGTCATTAGCCTTCATCTTCCTGGCTCGGTTTTCTCATCTTCCCACACTGGCATGACACCACCCCTCAAGAGTTTGTAGCCCCCACCCAGCAGTGATGGGTTGATGATAGCTGCACTCAGCCCCAGAAGTCTTAAGTCTGCAGCAGTATCAAGCATAGAGATATGATTGCCAAGTGTTGCTTTTTATCAGTAAAAAACAAAAGCCAGAGCGCCCATCTATTCTGCGAGGTTTTCTAGAGCATTCTGGACGGGCCGCTTCGGGCTGGTGTGTTTCCTTGCTTTCTGCAGGTAGTTCCATCTTAGATCAATCTTGAACACTCTGCTTTTTAAAAACAGACTTTCAGGTTATTTGGATGGGGGAAGAGGTTAGAGTAAATCACATTTATTGATAATGTTTTGGGGGCCTGTGACAAGCAGTGTTTTGTAACACATTTCAATTGATTACAAAATACTGATCCTGGAAGTGAACAGATCTGGAAGTGAGTAAAACTCAGTATCCACAGTACACATCTGTCGAGTGCAGAAATGAGCATCTCTGAAAATTGGATGAATATCCTGGCAAGGGATTGTTTTTCTTTTAGCAATATAACATAAAACAGAAAAAGTAGTACTTAATGAGCATACTGAATGCTTACTTTGTAGTAGGCATTTTCCTCTAGTTCGTGTGCCCACTAGATTTTGAAGGAATTATTTTTCCAAAGAGGGGGAGTGGGAAGGACATGTAACACAGATGATGTTACCCGCAAAGCTGAAGTGTTGCCCGTTTACATAAATAAATATTTTTACAAATAATCCATGGGTTTCTCATTTCAGGATTTGGTCCTGTTCAGAGATGTGGCTGTACACTTCTCTCAGGAGGAGTGGGAGTGCCTGGATTCCACTCAGAGGGATTTGTACAAAGATGTGACCTTGGAGAACTACAGCAACTTGGTGTCACTGGGTAAACTTATCTCTGGCTACTAATTTAGGAATTCACAGAACTGAATGTTAGGGCTGACTTTTAGAAACTAGCTGAACATCTGCTTTGTAGTCTGGGACCAGGTACCTTCAGCTATTCGTGCATTAAATAGGACTTCAGTGTCCCTCATAATGCAGTGACTTTTATCTCTTCTTTTGCCTTTTCTATAACTGCTTCTCTTTAAAGATGACTGGACTAAATGCTTAGCTACTCAAAGCAAAACTATTGTCAAAGAAAGCTGGTTTAATACTCCTGTGAGATGGTCCTACTCACTCACTTGCAAAGTAAGTTGTTAGACAGGTGTCTGGCGCGCTGACACAGTGTATGTCAGCACTTGGTTAAAACTCAAGTGGACAGCTCATGGATGGGACAGATACATGTTATCTTTCAGTTCATGATGCAAAGATTCCAATATATGAGCTTTGCACTGCCACTGGATGAGTATCCTAGCAAGAAACTATTTTTCTCTCAGCAAATAATCATAAAACAGCAAAACTAGAACCTAATGAGCATATCTTGTGCTTGCTTTGTCGTAGGCATTCACTCAACTCATTTTTATTATTCCCTTTTTACAACTGAGAAAACTCAGGCTCTGGAGGTTGGATGACAGAAGCAGGACTTGAAACTAGTGTTCGCCATCATTTCTTCTCTGAAGTGACAGAGTCTGTCGAGGTTTAAATTTAGTCAGATTATGTTCCTACTTCTGTGTTCTTGTGATCCTGAAATAACTCTGAACGTCAATCTCATTAATCTCACCCTTTGTTCTAAAGGTTTCATCAAGTAAATAATTCCATTATTTTTCCTTTTTTTTTTTTTCCAAGCAGGATGTTCCATTTCTAAGCCAGATGTAATTACCCTACTGGAGCAAGGGAAAGAACCCTGGATGGGCGTGAGGAACGAGAAAAGAAGCTGGAGCCTAGGTGAGCATGTGGTAACCACAGAGCTGCATGGTTAGTGGCACGGTCCTTAGTACTGATTATGAAGACCAGACCTGAAACCCTGAAAAATCTCACCTGTGCTTCTTCTTACTGCCTGTTTCTTCACTCCCAGAGCTCCCACTCATTCTAAAGGGGGCTTTGGGGACCTTTCTTCCCTAATGACAACCATTTAGCCTATATTTTGGGTTCAGTTCCTTTCTAGGTCATCTTTAGTATTTTGCCTTTTATTTCAGCATTCATTGGCTTCTTTTCACATGGTAGTAAGGAAGTCATGTAATAAACAAGTAAACAAATGGGTCACCGGGTATCATGAAGTGACTAAGATTTATGGAGAAATCCCTTAAGAATGTGGCAAGAATGGAGTGGTAAGACTATGGAGGAGTAGTGGAGAATGAGGTGATTTTAGGTAGGGAAGAGGAAACAGCTTAGACTCCAGCCCATCAAAAACAGAACCTTCCAGGCAACTATACACATACCTGATGTATTGCTGTGCATGGAATATGCTTCACCTATAAAAACTGAATGATACTAATAAAGTGTCCACTGAATGATACTAATAAAGTGTCCACTGAATGATACTAATAAAGTGTCCACCATTGGAAAATATTAGAGAACAAACTTACTTGGGAAACAAAAATTTAAAAGAAATGTAGTATGTACCCTGTTCCTTGGATAAGTCCTGTCATAAACACAGAGGAGTGAATGAGCTGCGCCTTCCCCAGTGTGGTGAGAGTGGAATGGGGTGTGCAGTGGCCAGGACTGGTGCAGGTCAGTGGTTGTTGAGGCTCTCGCATAAATACGCGAACGCTTCAAATACTGTTGTGTCTACTTTTGTGTCTGTTAGAAGTGCTCTATATAATATGATTTTGCTTTATTTTAAAATTAGTGGGAGATAGAAAAAAAGAGAGATGAGGCAGTGGTGAATATAAGTATATACCACTATTTTTGGAGGCATCTTGCCATAAAGCTGACATAAAAAATGGGTATAAGAAATATATTTTAAGAGGTGAGATAGTAGAACATATTTATAGAGTGAAGAGTAATGATTTCAAAGAGAGGGAACTTGATGGAGAGAAAGGGTCACGTTAGGGCCCTCCCTGGTGGCGCAATGGGATAAAGCACAGCACTTATGAAGCTAACGCAACTACTGTAGCATGAGTTCGATTCCCGGCCAGGGAGGTGACCCACACAGCACAGCAGACTTCTCCTCTACTACCTGCTACTGCCCTCAGCAGTGTCTTTCAGTCCATCTGCCTGTTCTGCTCCCTACTCTGTCTCTGGTGAATCCTCTCACTGCCCCACCCTGTACCTCTGGGCTGTACACCAGTTCTGTATGCATAAATAAATAAATCTTTTTTTATTAACTAGACCTTCAGTAGATGGGAAAGTAGGAGCCAATTTATAAAGGAGAATCGTGTATAATAAAAAAGGGACTTAGGTTGATGGCATAATGTGACAAAGGGAGACTCCATACTTTTTCATTCAGTGGCTTCTGACTTCTTGGTGAAGTAAACAGTAGGCTATCAGCAGATTATGCAGTATGTCACTGGAGTTTGGTATGGATTATTCAATAGTACTGATGCTCAGAATTACAGTTCTGATCTTCGGGTTTAATGTATCTCTTGACACATCAACCTTGTGATTAACATGACGAGAGTTGCCTCCATCACAAATACTGGGTTGTTGGAAGAGTCACACTGCACTTTTGTGTGAGAAAGAGAAAATACATCATGGCTTTTCTCACAACCCAATATTCTGTATTCTGATTCATCTTATATCAGCAAAATTAAGAGATTAAAGTCATATCAGGAAACATAATTTTATGATCAGATAATTTGCTCCTCATTTTCTTTTTAATTAAAGTTGATACTTACAAAGGGCAAGGCCTTGTTCCTTTCACGTTGATCTAAGTAGATATTAGCTCATTATTGGTCATTTTATAGATCACTTATGTCTTATTAAGGCTGATCTGATCACACTAGCTTTATTTTCTGGAGTAAAGCCCTTTGATCTAATAGAATCCAAACATTACATGGGTAATATTTACCATCTATCATAAATGTTGATACCTTCAAATTTCCCATCTGGGTCCATCTTTGGATGTTTGGTCCAGCCTTTTATTTCAGTTTAAATCACCTGTGTGGTGTGTTGTGCCTGCTCCCAGTTTCAGTTTAGTTGAAGTAGAGCCGCCCTTGCCCCTGGGAGCAGACCCTGGGTGGACTCAGTTTCCCAGAGTGCATCTGCCCCGCCTCCCTGGGCCTCCCTGGACCACCTCTAGTGCGGTGTGCAGCGCTCTCCCACCCTTCAACGTTGGTTTCATAGCGAGGGGCATATCTGATCACAGCTCAGCTGTTTTTACTGCAGTCTTCCATCTCTTAGAATGGTCAACGTTCCCGGCTTCCTCTGACATGACCATGACGTCATGACGGTGCCTTCACGAAAACCTCAGGCTCACCACACTGCAACTGTTTTGTTGCTTTAAGCAAACCTTTTTGATGGGTTATTTTTTATATCTTGTTCTACTTTGTTTCTTGAGTAAATACGATTATTTTGTCATAAGTTTATACTTATTTATTTTGTGATTACATCTTTTCTTCCATCGTATTTCCCATTGTTTAATTTTTCAGATGCCAATTTGTATGGGTCTTTATGCTGAACAGTTTATCATTTTTTTGGGCAAATGTTTTGGCCATTTTGATATTGACTGAATTCCCTTGTGGAGTACTGGCTTTTAATACTTATTTTACAAGTATATCCTTTGAAATTGCTATCTTATCACACGTGCAATACTTTATAAATAGCAGCCGAAGAAATATTAACTCCTATTAAGACTGTTGGCTAATTACTGGTCATTTATACTTCATTTCTTATTTGTCAAAAAAATTCTTACAAAATTACAGTAGGGGCTTTCCTGGTATCACCGCTATAGCCTGAGCTCAATCCCCAGCCAGGGAAGTACCCACATGGCACCGCAGACCTCTCCTGTCCTGCTCGCTGCTCCCCTCAGCCGCGTATCTCAGTACATCTGCCTGTTCTTCTCCCCAGTGTGTCTCCAGTGAATCCTTTCACCCCACCCCCACCTCCACTCTGCAGAAGTTTTGGCTATGAAGAGAATATAGGGAGAGCTATGAATGAGTAAAGCAGGTCAAGTATTTGTAACAGAAATGTGTGTAGTTATATAAACTCAAATGAAGATAAATCAGTAGCACCTTTCGTCACTTTGGCTGTGAAAGCAGGAAAAACGTCACTCGTGACTGCAAAGTGGAAGTAGCTGCAATGGTGACAGCTCTATTTATAGTAGCGGGAGAAAGGGGAGGCTAAGGTATCAGAAAGTAAGCATGTACTCTCCACATGTGTTTAACTGGAATAGTTTAGATGTGCTTTTGTTTGCTATTCTAGGTATTGATAAAAATAATTTTTTTAAGGTTTATTTATTTATGCATATAGAACTGGAGTACAGGCCAGAGGCTCGGGGTGGTGAGAGGCTTCACCAGAGACAGAGAGGGGAGCAGAACAGGCAGATCGACGAAGTACATTGCTGAGGGGAGCAGCGGGCAGGTCAGGAGAGGTCTGCCACGCCATGTGGTCACCTCCTGGGCAGGCAGGAATCAAACTCATACGGAATGGCTTTAGCTTCTCAGTGCAGTGCTTTAACCTACTGCGCCACCAGGGAGGGCCAATAAAAAGAATTTTTGATTGAACTGTGTGGGGCTGGAGGCATTCTCACAGGGCCTATTATCATCACACTTGGCTGCGGCACTACTTTGTGCTGGAGGGTTGTTAATGATAAGTGAAAGACTGTTTTCTGCCCTTGGCAACTTGTAAGGTAAGAAAATAGAGACGTGGTAGCCAGTGAACCGTACTAAAAAAATGCGATGATTGTGACATTCTAGGAACTGAGAGAAAGTAGGAGTCGTAGGGGCAAAGGGAACAGATGAGATAGTGACTGCTGTCCATGGTGAGGTGTTTGTACTTCACTCTAACTGAGAGAGAAATCATTTAGACACACAAGAGATTCCCCAACTTTGGCATGCATCCAAATGATCTGACCTTACCTCATTTTCATCATTTCTCTAAGGTTTTTTGAAAGTACATGACTATTTTAGCATTTTTTAGTCTGTCTATTTCAACTTGGCTTTATTTCTGTTGTTCTATGTATTCTAAACTTATTACCTGGTCATTTACTTTTTCTGGAATAATAAAATAGTGTGTGTTTATTTGGTTTTCTTTCAGATTTGGAGCCCAGGAATAACTCAAAAAATTTATGTAAAGGAAAAGGTATCTGTGAAATAAGTTTATCTCAGTGGGAGATAATGGAAAGAATTAGAAGACGTGGCTTTGAAGATTCCTTTTTCAGCAAAGATTATGTATATAAAAAGTTAGTGGGACAAGGAGGTCCCCAAAAGGGGTATTTCAGAGAAGTGAAAAAAGCCACCTCTGAAAAAATGTCTACTTACAGAAAACTCAAACCAATTACTCTCTATCAGAGAATTCATAATAGAGAGAAGCCGTATGAATGTGGGGAGTGTGGGAAGGCTTTCCGGGTGCGCCAGCAACTTACTTTCCATCAGAGAATTCATACTGGTGAGAAACCCTATGAATGTAAGGAGTGTGGAAAAGCTTTTAGGCAGAGTGCCCACCTTAGTCGACATCAGAGAATTCACACTTCGGACAAACTCTGTGAATGTAAAAAATGTGGAAAGATCTTTACATGCGGGGCAGATCTTCGAGCACATCAAAGAATTCATATTGGTGAGAAGCCCTATGAGTGTAAGGAGTGTGGAAAGGCATTTCGAGTTCGAGGACAGCTTAATCTCCATCAAAGAATTCACACTGGTGAGAAACCCTATGAATGCAAGGAGTGTGGGAAAACCTTTAGACAGTATGCACACCTCACTCGCCATCAGAGACTGAATATTGCTGAGAAGTGCTATGAATGCAAGGAATGTGGACAGGCTTTTCTGTGCAGTACAGGCCTTAGAATACATCACAAACTTCATACTGGTGAGAAACCCTACCAGTGTAAGGAGTGCGGGAAGGCCTTCAGAGTGCGGCAACAGCTGACTCTTCATCAGAGGATTCACACTGGAGAGAAGCCCTATGACTGTAAGGAGTGTGGGAAGACCTTCAGTCGGGCCTATCACCTAACTCTCCATCAGAGAATTCACACGGGCGAGAAGCCTTATGAATGTAAAGAATGTCAGAAGTTCTTTCGTCGTTACTCAGAACTCATCTCACATCAGGGTATTCATATTGGAGAGAAACCTTATGATTGTAAGGAATGTGGGAAAGCCTTTAGACTCTTCTCACAACTTACTCAACATCAGAGTATCCATTTTGGGGAGAAACCTTACAAATGTAAGGACTGTGAGAAGACTTTTAGACTGCTCTCTCAACTTACTCAACATCAAAGTATTCACACTGGTGAGAAACCCTATGATTGTAAAGAATGTGGAAAGGCCTTCAGACTTCATTCCTCACTTATTCAACATCAGAGAATCCATTCTGGTGAGAAACCATATGAATGTAAGGAGTGTAAGAAGGCCTTCAGGCAGCATTCCCACCTAACCTACCATCAGCGAGTGCACAGTGTAACTAAATAATCCTTAGAAAACTTTCCATTGTGAATTTTGTGTTTATAGACAATAAATTCTAGAGAAGTTTCTGATGGTAGGATTCACTTTTGTTTCATGCACGTGATGAACTTATTTCAGTGAGAGAATATGTTACTTGTATGCATTTGTGGAAGTCTTTCATCCTCATTTCCATTCAACCCACATTAAACTTTAGGACACTTGTTTTAGGAAGAAACACTTAAAGTAGTGAATGGGAACACTCTCACTCTTAACCATTAATATATAAGGGAGAAATTTTGAATATTTTCAGACTCCCAACAAACCTACCAGGTCGTACCAACATGGGAATGTTTCAAGGAGCAGGAAACCTGGGATGCCAGTGTTACATAATATTTAAAAAGTTATGTCAATAGGTGTGATAATTGCGCTGCAGTTATTAAAAATGTATGTTAGAGAGGAATTGTGACGTTTATATACTAATGATTAGATACAACGTAGGAGTTTCCTTTAAAATGCTCATGTGAAAAAGAAATGCGGCTGGATAGCTTAAGTTTGTCAAAATGATGGAAAGATAAGGCGTGGGTATGTGGTTTGTTTTGTTTTTGCTGTTAAACCTACTTCTGTGTATTTGAAATTTTTCCTTATTTCTTTTAAAGATAAAATTAGTACGAAATTATAATCAGTTTGAAGTGTTTTTTAAATATCTACATGTCAACAACCCTTCACAGTGAGATAGTAAAGATGCTCTATTTTATTTGTGAAATTATGATTGAGGATCTAGATTTTATCAGCTCACCTATTGCTACATCTATTATAGAGTCAGTCACAAAGCACTGAAATGGTAAATGAATGAGTAAATACAAATAAAACAATTGCTACAACGACATGAAAGCAGATGGGGCCACCTCCATTGTCTAAGAAGAGGTGGCTAGCACGATGTTGAGCCTTTGAACTTGAGCTACTGCAAAACTGAAATGTAGCTGTTTGAAATTAAATGCCTACATGCACATGAGGTTTAGAAGACTGAGTTTTTTTTCTAAAAAAGCAAAAGCAGTGTATTTCAGTTTTTCAGCATTTCTCCGGTGTGACTGGGAGGCTGATACGCAAATGGACTGCACCGTCACAGGACCCAGAACCCAGTCTGAGTGTTTCTGCACCCGGTTTATGTACTTCCTTGTGCAACCTTGCTTACACCCTGAGTCATGCTGTTTCTAGCCTCATAAAAGTTATCCCACCTTTATACTTGATAGTTTTCACAGACTGTGTTTAGCCTGGAGCAGTCTGGGGGTGCAAAGATCACGTCCACTCAGTCCTGTTGCATTCAAGCTTGCGATGTCTCACAAAGTAAAATTCTTTTATAAATTGTATTTTCTATACATTTTGCTGTATTTTATATGCATAGGGACACTCAACCAGAAATGAAATCCTTATGAGGCTGCTTGTAGAAAAATGACTTTAAAATTCATAGAAGCCCTGCTATTTCACTCCACGTTGGCATTTTCAGGGCAGTGCCATATAAAACATTTGATGTTTCTATCGATCAGGCCCTTTATATCTTTGAGAATCGCTTGGTACCTGGAAACACTGACCTAGAACCCTGTCGATTTCCTTGAAATTGTATATGAGAAATCATCAATTGGGGTCATTAATATAATGTGATTTTTCTTGGTCACTCTTAAGATGATGGCTTACCTCTAAGGATTTTTAAATACTGATCAAGCCTCACATCCCTAGAATAAGCCAATGGCTCATGTAAGCTGGTATGCCACTGTAAAATTCCATCATTTCTAGAGTTACAAACACGTTTTTCATTTTTCGTCCTAAGACATCAGTCCTAGCTCCACAAGAGCGCTGATGTTAAGAAGAGCAGGATATGCACCCCCATGTCTATTGCTGCTTTATTTACAACAGGAAAGACATGGAATCAACCCAAATGCCCAAAACTAGATGACTGGATTAAAAAGATGTGGTACACTATGGAAAAGTGTTTGGGGGTTCCTCAAACTGCTAAACATGGAGCTTCCATATGACCCAGCAATCCCACTCCTAGGCATCTACCCAAGGACACAAAAACACTGATTCAAAAAGATACCTGCACCCTTATGTTTATTGCTGCATTATTTACAACTGGAAAAACATGGAATCAGCCCAAATGCCCAAAAGTAGATGACTGGATTAAAAAGATGTGGTACATATACACAATGAAATATTACTCAGCAACCAAAAAAAAAAAAAAACATACATGCCTTTGCAGCAACATGGATGGGGCTGGACAAGATCATGCTTAGTGAGATAAGCCAGAAAGAAAAGGAAAAATACCAGGTGGTTTCACTCATAGTAGGAGTATAATGGACCAGGGGAGAAAATAATAATAGTAATGACAACTATATACCAGAGACATTTTACGGGGATGGAGTGGGAAGGGGATCAAAAATGGGGTGGGGGGAGTGCATAGGACTATGGTGATGGCAAATGGGCGATTTGGTGATGGGAAGCCCACGGGGATTACAACTGAGATGGAAAAAGGCACAAAATGATGTAAAAATAAACTTATTTTTTGAAAAAGAAGGGCAGGATAGGGAGAAAAGGAGACAATGAGAGATAAGTGGTGGTGGTGGGAAATAGTTTTAAAATAATAAAATTCCTTGCCTACATTTAAAAAAAATAAACAGACACATTCAAAAACACTAGAGCTAGTTCAGAGTGGAATTCTGAAAAAGTCCAAGTGACCCATTTAGAAACAAAGGAAAGAGAAATGAATAAAGAAAAATCATAAAATGGTATATTAAACCCCTAATAAGTCAATAAGTATAATAAATACAAATAGCCTAAATATGCCAATTAAAAGATAAAGATTAGTAGAGCATGTTAAAAGATACAGTCCAACTATATGCTGTCTTCATTAAATTTCACTCAAACACATCCTGATACCATTAGGATGAAAATAAATGTGTATCAATCATTAATAATTTTAAAAAGCAGGGGTGGTAGGATGAACATGAAATAAGAGACTTCAGAGTCCCTCCCTGGTGGCACAATGGGTTAGGGCGCAGCTTTGCAAGATAGTGGCAGCCGCTTTAGTGTGAGTTCAATCCCCACCCCAGAGCTGACCCACCTGCTTCTCCAGTCTCACCTGCGGCTCCCCTTGGCAGTATATTTCAGTAGATCTGCCAGTTCTGCTCCCTGTTTTGTCTCTGGTTAAACCTCTCACCACCCCTGCAGCTCTGGCCTGTACCCCAGTTCTGTGTGCGTAAGTAAATCTTTAAAAAAAGACATCAGAGGTAAGGAAATAACCAGAAATGGAAAGGTACAATGATGAATGTGTCCTGCTGCAAGAAGTCTCAGAGATTTTAAATGTACATGAACCATTACATACAGTGTATCAAGAGTTGCAAAATATGTGAAGGAAAAGCTAATAGCACTGAAAGGAGAAATGGACAAATCCACATTATAAGGGGAGATTCCAGCCCCCCTCAACAACTGAAAAAACAAGCTAGAAAGAAAATCAGTATGGACACTGAAAAACTTAATGCCGTCAACCAAAAGGATCTCACTAGATACCTCAGACCTTAGGAGGATGAGGAAAAACTGAACAAATGTGCACACATGGATTTGCTAAGTTGCATGCAATGGACCCATTTCTGAGAAAACACAAACAACCAGCTCACACAATGTGCAAGAGGTAATGTGACTAGCCATAGAACTGTTGAGGAAATTGAATAAAAACTCACACCAAAAAATTGGCTAGCTAGATAGTTTCACACAAGATTTACCAAACATTTGAAAAAGAACAGACATCAACCTCATATTAATCTATTCCAGAAAACAAGAAGGAACACTTCCAAATTCACTTTGTGAAGCTACTATCATCTCAACCTGGAACTAAAACCAGAAAAGACAGGAAAAAACCCTGTAAATTAGCATCCTTTATAAATATGCAAAAATATTTAAAATATCACTAAGTAGAGTCAGTTCTATACATAGCAATACAGAATATTATCAAATAGAATCTTTTATACAAGAATTATACAATGACCAGAAATGTAAAGCTGGCCTAATATTGGAAAATCGATGTAAATTATCCTATAAAAAGTTTAAGAACAGGAGCCATCCCTGGTGGCACAAGGGGTTACATCTCAGCACTATGAAGCAATCCACAGCCACTGCAGCAGGAATTCCATCCCCGGCCAGGGAGCTGACCCAAAGGGCGCAGCAGACCTCCCCTGACCCACCTACTGCTCCCCTCAGCAGTATTTCATTAATTTACCTGTTCTATTTGCCACTCTGTCTCTGGTAAATCTCCTCCCCCCCCACACCAACCTCTGGCCTGTACCCATTCTTGTATGCATAAATAAAAATATATGCAAAAAAATCAGCTCACTGTCCTGTCAGTCACACCATCACCTGGGCAGTGCTGCCCACCTCACAGGCCTACAGCCTGAGGCTGACCTGATCACGAGGGTGGCCCTGGTCTCTGTGTCATTTCCCCTCAAACCCGCACTTCCAGAAGTGTGGTATGAATTAATTTTTTCAGCAGTGAATGACAGTACACATCTCATCCCTGCAAACATACTCTAGCTCTCTTCCTCAGGGCTTTTGATTAGTCTCCCCCCCTTTTGCTCTTTCCTCTGCAGCTAATACTGCCACCCCATTGTACGAATGGGACCTGAGCATGCAAGAAGAGGAAGTAAACAGAACCAGTTCTGAGTCTGGCGGGAGAGGCAGACCTAGGCGGACCACAGCCTGAGCATCAGCCTGCGATGCTCCACCACGTCCCAGCTCACGAGTCCCTCCCCTAAAAGCTCCTCCCTTCCCCACAGTGAGATGTCACTGGCCACATTACAAGAGTGGACGTGTGTGGGGCCGGTTACGGAGCCCCTAGGAATGCGCCCTATCCGGGGCACAACTGTGAGGCTGATTGGACATTCACTGAGTTACTGAGGAAGGTTTTAAGGACGAGCTGCCTGACAAGAACTGGCCATCGGGTCAGAGGCGGCCTCGGTGAGGGGGCGAGTCCAGTGTGGGGAGTGGAGAGTGAAGAGGTGCAGGTGACCTGAGGATCAGACTGGTGGGTGGGCCAGGCTGAAGCTGTGCGTAACCCTGGGGAGACTGCAGGTGTGTAGTGGCTCTGCCGCCATCTTGTGGACATGGGAAGAATTGCAATAACTCTGATCTGCGGTCCTTGTCTCACCTGTTGTTTATTAAAAAGATTTTGTTTATGCACACAAGAACTGGGGTACAGACCAGAGGTGCAGGGGTGGTGAGAGGATTCACCAGAGACAAAGTGTGGAGCATATCAGTCAGACTGACGAAGTACACTGCTGAGGGGAGCAGTGGGAGAGTCAGGGTAAGTCTGCTGTGACATGTGGGTCAGCTCCCTGGACCTGGGAATCGAACTCGTGGGGGATCAAACTCGTGCTGAAGCAGCTGCACCTAATTTAATAGTGCTGCGGTTGATATTAACCCGTTGTGCCTCCGGGGCGGTTTTTATTAACCCGTTGTGCCTCACCTGTTTTAATTTACATTTTAAAAGAGCAGGTTATTAAGAAAGGGAGAAAGGTAAGCGGCACCTGTACAGTCACAAGCGGTCACAACCAGCTGCTGTTCTGTCTCATCAGTCAGCATAATCTGTGGACATTTTATATGGTCTCAGACCCCGTAGGTGCTCGTGAGTCCCTCCCCTACAGTGAGAAGTCACTGCCTCCGATTATAGCAGTTTGTGTCAGAATGTTTACTACACGGGGGCCACCTTTGCAGTAATTCATAGAAGCTGGACAGTTTTGATTGTATTGGTGTTTTGTGCCAGACAAACGTTGGAAATCTGAACAGTTTATATTAAAAATGCTGTAACTTGTTAGCTCAATTATGTAGCTTTTCCGCCTTAACACCGAAGCTCCAGGAAGATTGCGATTTACCACAATTAAGAGGAAACGTGTTTTGGGAAGGGTTCAGAATCTGCCA